AGGCAATCAGGAGTGGATCACATTCGACAGCGGGATGATTATTCTGAATCAAGATGGGAAAGTCCACTTACATAAAGGAGTACAGTTTCCAGATATTGATGATCCTATGGTTGTTAACCTGCTCGTTCTCCGGGAGATTATTCTATGGTGTTTAAGCCAGGGATTTACGAAGACAAGGTTTGAAGGTGATGTAAAAGTGGTCATTGGGAATATCAATCGGGCTGATACTCGGGATAGTCAGATGGGGTCATTCTCCAGGAGGTCGTGCATTATTTGTAGGTCGGCGTAGCAATAGGATAGCCCATTTGATAGCTAGAAAGATCCTTTTATTGTACCCGACTATGAGTCGTTTCTTTGATTTTCTGATCTGGTTTAATTCCAGAATTTAACTATTATTCAAATCAATATGATGTTTGTAAAATAAAATAAAAAACTCTCTAAGGTTTGGGTCGGTGACTGCTAAGACCTCCTAAACCAATAAGAATAACGTTTGGCTGGTGATTTAACTAAAAACAATAATCAATATGTGAAGAACACCATGAAAATTGAAAAGGAAAGTTCACATGCTCTCCTGCCATCCTTTTATGCTTTTTACGCCATGAAAAACAGGCACCTCGGCATGAGGGAAAAACCATATACGAAATAAAATGTCGTCGCCTGTTTTTGTCCCAAACTTATGGGCTCGATGGCTCCCCCGGCCCGGCCTAATACTGTCCGCCCATAGTAATAATTGAATCTGTGACCTCCGGCCCGGCCACCCTAAATTTACGTACCCTTTCCCCCTTCCCTTCCTTTCCTCCTATATATACACACAGGCAGCGCACCCATTGGCCATTTCCCACACTAGTCTTTCCCAAACCAAACCAACATCTTTCTCGCTTTATCATTATATACACATTTGAGGTAGCAGAGTTCTATACATACATGGATGTGTTCATTCCTGAAGAGTATGTCATGCGGAGAAGAAGCGAGAAGAAGAGGCTTGCCGCTGCCACGGCGGGCAGGAGGGAGGAGGAGGAATCTCCGTCGTCGTCGAGGAAAATGGAGGAACATTATCTTCATCAGAACAACAAGGAAATGCGGCGGATGTTGTTAGTTGCTCATCATAGTAACACTAGTAGTACTAGTGGGCTCACTGAAAATGTCATCTTCACCACATGCTTCTCCCCTTAATTATTAAATTGTTACTTACTTCCCCACTTCTGCCTAGCTAGCTAGCAAGCCCATACAAATATGCTGTATTAATTAATTCCCCTTTTCCCTGCCTATATATATATGTACTAGCTACAATATATATATATATATATATAAATGTGAGGAAATTGTTTTGGTGCGTTGTTCCACTGCATAAATTTCTTTTTTTCTGCACTGGGCTTCATCTTGTCCATTGTCCTTTTTTGCTCCAAGTCTGAATAATGTGAAACTTGATGTAGTTTGTTCCGGTAGCGGAAACTGGATAATATTCCTCCCTTTTTCACCAAGTGAGAAACATGTAGCCCAGACACGACCGAAGGGCCTGAGATCCAATTGTGATCTATAGATACAGGTCCAAAATCACTGGGTCTGATGTTTTACCCACAAGCCCATCCAAATAAAGGCCTAAGAAATGAATTTAAGGTGGGTCTAGCCCATGTTTCTCTTTGTCTTCTTGGCTTTCCTTTGCCAGTTTTGCTGAGGATTTTTAAAAGTAAAGTCACATTTTGTTCAACAAAGTCAGGATGGCCGAGTGGTCTAAGGCGCCAGACTCAAGTTCTGGTCTTCGAAAGAGGGCGTGGGTTCAAATCCCACTTCTGACATTTTTTTAGTTTTTCACTTATTTTTTCCACTGGCTCAACATTGGCTGGGATTGTGTGGCTTTCTTGAATCCAAACTATATATCCTTCCATTAGCTGATGGGTAAAGAGGTTGATGAACATGTATTCGTGGGTGCTGACGGTGCCTGATGAATGGAAGTTTTTGTGCGGGTCTAGATATGCATGACATCCATTTGAACAACATGAGACCAATTGTTCACGAGTGAAGAGTAGGGTGATTTGGAAGAGAAACCTGATACATTTTTTTTTCCGAATCGTTTAGATCGTGAAATGTTATGATAAATTTGAATTGAATCGCTCATTTAAAAACTCATGCCGTTTGTATTTGTATTTAGAATTTGGGCCAAATAATTTGTATAGAATTTGAGATTTCAATCAAAGAAATCAATGTTTCCCTCCATCTTCTACAGGGAAAAAATCCAAAATACAGAAATGAACGTCAAAACTCGAAACGCATAACCCATAAAAAAATCAAGCTCCAATCACCGATCGGCAGACCAATCTCGTCTTCTTCAACTTCATATGCAGAGCTTCCTCCTCTCCAGCATTACCTGTGATATATTCGAGGGATGGACAACATGTTTTTGAAATGCTTGCTGTCACTAGCATACATATAGTAACAAACTAACAATATGAGACGAACTTGTTTGACTTCATGGCAAGTTCCAATTAACCCTCATCATCAAAAAACCAACATTCACCCCTCAAACTCAAAATGAACTCCCAAATTCCATTAATTCCTCATGTTTCCAACTTGGACCATTCCAATTGTCACTTGCATGTGTTACCTCTTACATTGTCTACGTCCAGTCTCGGCATCAATCAATCTAAGCAGGCAAACCAATAAACCAACAAAATGTGTCCGCTATCACGACCGGGTTAATTAGCTTAATTTCTTCGGTGCCACCAATATACAAGTCGAGACGAAATTCAGAAGCCCCCGAATTTCTTTTTGCTCGTCTTATGTCTACCAATATATACGAGTGTTGCTTTCAGTAAACAGAGTTGCCTTCTCTTTAATTCTAATATATATTGTACAATTGGAGAGATATATGGAGTGGAGGAGCCAATAGAGCCTGCAGACTATTGAGAGGCGGCCAATCCGCTCCCTGCAGCTTCAAACGAAATACGATTTTGGACACTTGTAGTGGTGCTAGTTTGTCAATGGAAGACAAGAATTAAAATGGTTTTTTTTTCCACAGAAAAGCAATAAAAGTTAAACTAACCAAAAGTTATTGTCTTCATCGATCAAATACCGGGGGGGGGAAAAGAAATCTAATTAGCAGTTTAATTAATCTTCTTCTCGAGACATTATTATTGTTAATCTGTTTTAGGTCGAAAAAGATACATTATTTTCCGGATACGTTCGTACATGATTGGCAAGTTCTCGCCTTTAAGAATAAGAGCCGAGCAAGGTTATTATTATTAAAAAAAAAAACTTAAGCCTACAATTGGCATGGCATAACCCACCACTTTATTAATTAAGATGTTACATCTTCCTAGTAATCATCTTTGTTAATGATACTTTTTCCATGAACGTTTCTTCCCCTAGACTAATGAACTGCATGGGATATATCATTCATTCATTCATTCATTGATGAAAATGTCTAGATTCACTTTTAATGATCTTTAATTTTAAGTACTAGAGTGTCGCGACCATTCGGCAGGATACATGACAAAAAAAAAAAAGAGGTAGAATGTGTTAGTAAATGGTAAATATAATTCATAATCGAACATCCCACAACAATTCAATGAATTATTGAGACTAGTTGGTTCATGACATGGTATCAAAGCCTTCAATGACGAGAAAGAATGTGGTGAATCCCAACGACTCCCAATAAACACATGGTATTCAGACACGCGCATATTTCAAGCCCACATAATTTGTAAATGAACCTCCTAACAACTTAGATTATTGGAAACATCTAGGTATTCACATTGAAGCATGCATAGAGAAAGAGAGGGAGAGAGATAAGGTGACTGAGGTGGACTTGGGAAGTGGAATTAATGCAGGTCAATCGATCAAAAGTAGGGGAGTTCGGCAACTTTTGGTAATCAGCCCGGAAATAAGTATGCACGCAATCATCATAGGTGTTGGATCGACGAGTAGTATGGATTATACCATGGTCCTTCCTCTCTGTAATTTTTCTTTTTGTTGTCAAAAAATTATGAAGACAGCAAAGATACAATGCTCAATGATTTCGATTGAAGTCAATCATAAAAATCAAACCCTATTACGTACAAATATTACGAACAAATCAAAGACTCGCGTAACCATCATATGAATTACTACATTGTTTTCCCTACCAACAAATCATGCATATACAGAATGTTCTTGCAAAATCTGAGCTGCATCTTCCAATACCGTTCCTCCGTTACTTTCTCGCAACTCATCACATCTCTTAAACCCAACAATTCGAAGATAATTGGATCCACAACATTCCCATACATAATAATCCCATTGGCCAACAACACATATAACCATCTTCTTTAATTTGTCCACCACCATCCCTACCGCACCAGAATGAGATCCAACGCGTGCAAACAACCTCTTGCATGTACTTACTTTTTTTATTTTCCTAAATTTTTTATTCTACATTTTTAAATAACAAAGTGATAATTTAGCCATTGACTTTAGTATTCTTATTTTAAAGTATATACGTTATCTTCTGTATAAAAAATTAAAGTTACCAATTAACAAAATTCAAACAGTCGGTACTTTCTCTCTAGAATTCATGTCAATACATTTGTACCACAATCCATCCATATATATATAAAATAAAAGGAAATATGCATTATAGAAAAAAGCAAAACACGAAACATGAATCAGTCTCTTTTACTTTATCACATATTTTGCGTGTGTGTAAACTTACAAGTTACAAATAATTATTCCGGATATTGCCGAGAAAAATGCTCAAATGATCTCATATTAAAGACCATGGAAACTGAAAAACATAAAATCGAAGCAAGAATAACATATAATTAATTACTGGAAATCGAAAGAATTGAAGTATATATAATTAGAGCCAGAAAGAAAAGGTAGAATTGCCTTCGTATCCTTCCGACGACATCAATATAAATAGAGTTACCAGTCAGTCCATATACGACCAAGCCAGTCAGACATAACACATCCCATCCATCTCACATTCCACATTAATTAAACCCCCCCTCCGGCCGCCGCGCCGATCACCGGATCACGGCCGCCATTTCTTCTTCCGGGCTCTCAACCGACGACGAGTTGGTACTGTTACTTCCACCACCACCACCGCCGCTATTATTATTGTCATCATCGGCGACCAACCCTACGAGGAAGTCAAACACCTCCGTGGCGGCCACAGCAGACGCCACGTCCTCCTTGTGTAGGGTCCGCCTCTTCCCTTGGACGGTGACCATCCAGGAGCGGCGCGTGAGCTCCTCGATGAAGAGCTCGCAGGCCTTGGCGAAAACTATGGGCGCCTCCCCCGAGATCATCTTGACGTCGTCGCCGGACTTCTTCATGATCTTCTTGATCCTCGCCAGCGGCAGCGCGTGAGGCCCCGTTCTCCCGCTCAGCCCGCCGGATAGGATCCCGGAGTAAATCCCTGGCTGCCTCATTTGGGTTGGTTTCCTTTTTCGGAAGGGAAGGAATATGAAGTGAGGAGGAGGAGGATGATATATGAAGTAATTAATAGATGGTGAGGGATTAGTAAGTAAGTATATAAAGGATTTGGGAAGGGAGGTTTTGGGGCCGGCCAAGCCTGCTTAATCATTATACGGCCGGCGGGATTGGTGTTTTTAATTTGGAAAGTGAAGTCAACAGATTGTTTATTACTCTGTTAAACAAATTCCGATGTATAATTTATTAGCAAAGGGAAACCTTTTTTATTTTTAGCTAGTTTTTTTTTTTTTACAATGAGATGGATCTTTCAATCATACACAGAATGCAAATACAAGAATACGCCCATCAAAGATGAGGTGAAACAAGCTGAAGAATGGTAAGCCAATCATAAGCAAATACAAGAATGGTTGCATTGAGCAGCTCGACCACTCAACACAATCTATAACTGCCGCAATGCAAGTACCATGTGATGAGAAGAATAATGAAATGTTAACTTGGTATGGACATGGGTAAGTGGACCCAAAACTTTTTTTAAAGGGGTTTGTTAATCAAGAAGCAAATGGGTGAAGTCCAGAGGGGAAAGTAAAAATCAGGCATCAAATGTAAAAACAAGCTATAACAAATAGGCATACTCGAAAAACCAGAATCCAATAGGGCCCAACGGAGAGACCTAAACCAAATTACAGTCCACCCAAACCCTATCTAGTATCTACCCCATTGCCCCTCTAAACCCCGCCGCCATTGGAACTTATGAAGGAAATTTGGTGAAGATTAAATTAAGGATCGTTTGAAGAACATGATTTAACTCGACGCAAGATTTAACTCGTGAATTTATTAAATTTATTATTTTCGTAGAAAATTATGTGATTTCAAATCTCTAAAATCTAGAGATATCAAATTCTCATTTTCAGATAGTATGTACTTATTGATTTTTTAAAAAAAAATCTCCTTAAAAAAATTATCTCACGAAATAACTTTATCAATAAATTCTCAATATTTCTTGATACACTCTGATTCAATTGGTTAAGGGAAACCATGTTATTTTATAAAACATTAAAACTTTAATTTTCAATGAAATTTATCAATCATAGTTACAAAAAAAATGAACATTTATAAAAAAACAATTTGGAGAGTTAAAATTTTTAGGTTTAAAATTTATACATTTAGACTCAAATTCTCCAACGACCTCTAAATGATTTATTAATTCTAATGATTATTTTATTTATCGCGCATCTTAACAATATTTTGATGTTCGACATTCATGATCTATTTTCACTCGATCAATACCTTCATATTCGATACTAGATTTTTCGTTGACGCACTCGTAATCTCAGTGATTCTATATTCTCGCTAAAAACAATTCCTCGATATAGTGACGAAAAGTACATGTATTGCTGTATGTTAAGTAGATGGAAGAGAAGGTAGTTAATTACAATTCAAACAATGAATTAGCTACAAGATTATCAGTTTGAAGCTAACATCACTAGCAGGAGAACCGTAGAGTACCCTACTAATATATAATAGAGAAGTTGATAGAGGATATTTTGTGGGCTCGATTTAATTCGTATATGATATGGGAAACGAAAGGGTCAATGCTTGGGCCCTTCATTTACAATGTATATTTAAGGAAATTCGTTGTTGAGTATTGTGTACGTTATTTATTAGCTCTTAATTATTTTCTTATTACATGGTGACGAGATCCATATCAAAGCTTTCTAGAAAGAATTATTTTAAAGTTTTGTGATTCATCGCATAGTTAATCTATCTAATGTGGGTTTGTTTTTACATTTTCTTAAATTGAGATTTTTTTCTAGAAATTAGGGAACTTTTTTTTTTAAAGTTTGGCAAGAAGTATATTTGGAAAGAGTTTAGAAAAGATAAAGTTAATATAAAGTATGTATTTCTAATTAATAGGAGGGTAGTTTATGAGATGGTGAATAATGTGTATGATAGGAAAATAGTGAATAAAAATTAATAAGCGACTATTAAAGGTGTAGATTTAAGATTTTTTCCTTAACGGACAAAGTTTATGGATTATCATAAACTAGTCACGGGCCCGGCCGGTTGGCCGGTTTCATTTTTCAACCATGTAACTAAATAGGTAAGAATATCGGGTTCATTTGTGAATTGTGTTAATACAAAAAAGAGTAGCATGAGTTTCGCGTGTTTTGTTTGTTGACAAAAATCTAGATTGCTGAAATTATCGAAATATAAATTTCTTTGTAGCGTAAAAGAATCCAAAATATTAAAGTACTTAAAAATTGTAAAATACGAATATCATAGTATTCTGGGACATCCTAACCGACTCATCCAACATAATTAATTTACGAAAAATCAACGACTAACCCTTTACCAGCAAAATGAATTCTATAATTGTTTTGAATAACTCTTATATATACTCATCGCCTATGTCATGCTCATCCTCGTCCTTTCTTTGAGGTGCTTCCATGCTTTACACTGGTGGATTTGGCCATCGCCGTCACTGTTATCACCGAAAATGAATGACAATTACTCCTATTTGGGTTTGTTGAACATCAAACTCATAACACGCAGGCAAATATGGTGAGTAAGGCTGGCTCCAACCTAGAGAGCAAAAAATCCCAAGAGCCATATATAGCTCTTTTTCTTAATCCAACCAAAAAAAAAAGAGGGAGTCAAATATAGGTATTGGGATTTTGGGAGCCAAATTAGGCTGGGTTTTGGGAAGGAAAGTTATTTATGGCTGGGCAAAAGTGGGTATTGGGCCCACGTTTGTTTGTCCCATGTGGCGGGCATACCCATTTTTCCCTTTTTTTTCTTCTTCTTCTTCCTTATTTGTGATTGGTTGTTGCTTTGTTGGTGTGATTGAAATTTAAATGAGAATCAATTGACGTAGTGACGAAAAACAATTGTTTTCAAAAGTGATTATGAATTATAAAAAATTAAAAGAAAATATAAAAACTAAAGGTCAAATAAGTATGGTTATGGAAATAAATTGAAAATGTGAGGTGGGAATCTAAATTTAGCTTTTTGTAGGGTTGGAGTGAAAATGTGATTTGGGGAGCTAAAAAGTCATATTTAGCTATTTGGGAAGTCAAATTTAACTTTTTGGGTTAGAGTTAGCCTAAATGTGTAAGAATTTCGCCTTGGTCCAAAATTAATTATTTGTGGAATTCTTGGATTCATGAGTAGTAAGGTCGTTCCTCAAGAGGTGAAATTGATTTTATCTGGAAAATTGTTTCAAATATTTTAAACGTAATCAAAAAGCATATACACATATGATATAAGAAAATAAACATTTTGCTACTTTCATGTATATATATATATATTCTTTCAAAATGCCCATTTAAATTGTTGATTCACCACAACAATTGATTAAGAAATGAGACAACGAATGCACGGTTGAATACCTACCCCTGTCCTGAGTAAGTTAACTGAACATTTGTATAAGTATAAAATGAGTTAATTTTGAAAAATAATTCTTGTCTATATAAGTTGTTTGTGTCAACATTTGACATATAACCTTGATCTCACAACATATGAGTCATGTAGCTAGCTTTATGGACACTTTGAGAAGTAGTAAATGACACTTACCCTCAAAAGAATTCTTTGCATGCCGCTTCTGTTGAGAATAAAGAAGTGCAGATGATGATACTCCATTCGAATGTAAAAAAAAAAAAAAAAATTAGAAAGTGGAGGAGAAGGGAAGGGAAAGGTAAAGACATAAATACTTTAATATCCTGAATGAATATGTTAGTATGGTACTAAGATATTATTTTCTGGGTTTGTACCTAACAAAGATTCCAAAAACTCATACTTTTTTTTTACCGTAGGAAATCGAACAGAGAATTTATTATTATTAAAAGTATTTTGATTGAAATGGAAAAAGATTCCTTCCTATAATCATTCAATTTAAAATGTCAGGAGACCACAATAATCTAAATAATAGATAATATTAATTTATTGAGGATATAAAAAAATGCATGAGATGAATAACTAACCTGGACTTGATGCGTGCCTGAAATCATAACAATAGTATTAAGGAATAACAAATCGATTATCTAGTGATACTCCATTAAACATATACGATTTGTTGTTCTATGGATGTCGATACCTCGCAAAACCATTGCCATCAATAGTTCTTTGAATGTAGAATTCATTTGGAAAATGTTTAGAGCATACACCATTGTACATAGAGCTTTAGGTCCTTGAATGTCACATGGCCATGAAACATAAATTTTGCAACTGATTCATAACATCCCGGATCTACTCTAGGATATGGAACTTCCGCATATATAAGTGAATCTATTTCTGAATGACTATATAATTTATCTTATGCAGCAAGCGAAACTAATAAATGAGCAAGAGGTAGAGCACGCTTTAAAATTCAATGGAAATTACATATGCAATGAAAAATTATCATAATAATTAAAATTATAAAATAATAGTTAGCGAATAAAAGTGACGTCGGGGTTTAAGTGTTTGCTTGCAATAACATATTCAAAACCTCTGGAGGCTACCTTCGATGAGGAAGATTCACTTTGCCTTGTCTACAAAATGAAAACTTTGATTCATTGGGATTCTTTCTGGGTTTGGTACTTTCTCCCTTCCACATCATCGCTCCACTATATTCACATTTATATGATGGGGTCCAATATCAAACACTTCAATAACTACAATTAAAACTCCAATATAAGAGATACATTTGATAAAATTTCAATAATATAATAAATGAAGGATAATTAAAATATTCATAAACCAGGAAAGTCTCTAGATCACATCACCCAAAGATGATTATAATGATTTTCGGCAAGTTTGATGGATCTCAACAATCTATTTCTCTTAGTTTGTAAGTTATTAATTTCATTTTAAGAGGAATCATTAAAATAAGCAATCTTAGCATCTAACACATAATTTGGTAACATATAAATAGAAAGCAAACATTAAAATAATGAAATACCAGTAAGAATGTTTGACAATTTTTTCATATATAAGCTTTTGCCGTGTATAAAGAGCA